AAGAGACAGTCCCTCTCCCCCTTCATCCTCTCCTCATCCCCCAACACCCCACCAAGCACACCCTCAATATCGCTCGCGCTCCCGCACCCGGATTGGAGAAACGAGGATAGCGAGTCGTGAATGTCCTTTTCAAGGGCTGCACTGTATCAATTCCAAGGCGGCATAAACTCGGGTGTTACGGGTAAACAAAAACAAAAAGAAACACGGAACTGACAGACACCCCCACCCCACCTCCATCTATCCAACCTCGCAGCCTCATCAACCCACACCCGTCGATGCCGTCTCAACGACGCGTCGGTCGCGTTTTGTTTGCACGTTTTTTTGAGGGATGCTATCTTATTTGGGACCGTTTCTCTTGGTCAACCCATCCACGCCTCACACAATCACAAGACCGGAAGCAATTTGTACCTTTTGGACAATAGCAGGCGTAGACTGTTTGAACCGGTCCGCATCCCGGATGGGAGGAATGAGGGCGTGTGAACGGGGCACTTTTAGTTTTGTGAGGAGCACGTCGACGTTTGCTGGTGAGGTTGCCATGACGGGGACGTAAAGTATATATGTGATGGTAAAAAGCAGTCTGGCCCTGATTATCGTGCTTGGAGCTTGGTGGCGAGATATTGCGGGCATTTCGGATACCCTAAGTTTAGGATGGCTACCCAAGATGACCCGACCATATTGCATCAAGATGACAACATTTTTTAAGAAACCGGGATGGAGTCACACGTACTCATTCACTTTTTTGAGCTTACTTTTGGCAGGCAATTCTCACCAATCCATGTCCTTCAATCTCCATCGCAAGTAGAACCAAAGAAAACGCTTAACAACTGCACAATCAGGACGAACTGCTCCGAACAACTCTTTAGTCACCAAAAATGGTATTTGAAAATGTATTGTAGTATGAGTGGAAATAAACTGACCGCGGAGGGGTCAACAGGAAACCATACTGGGCAAACAGCCGACAACGGTTGAACCAATTCGCGGCAAGTTGGGATCCACCATCATCGGTCCCCGCAACTATGAGCGTGAACGTCAATCAGTGGACCTCGTAAGACCTCCCGCAACCGACGCGGGAACGCAACCTTCCTACAAGTGGTCCTTTGCAGACTCCCACATCCGCATCGAGGATGGCGGGTGGGCGCGTCAAACTACCGTGCGAGAGCTCCCAACGTCCGTGGAGCTCGCCGGCGTCAATATGCGTCTCGAGGAAGGGGCTATCCGAGAGTTCCATTGGCATAAAGAAGCCGAGTGGGCGTACATACTTGAAGGATCGTGCAGAATCACGGTTTTGGATCTTGCGGGAGGTATCTATGAGGCAGACGTGGAGAAGGGGGATCTGTGGTACTTTCCCACTGGGCATCCGCACTCCCTCCAAGGGATTGGGAAGGGCGGGTGCGAGTTTTTGCTCATCTTTGACAACGGGAACTTTTCCGAGGACTCGACGTTCCTGTTGAGCGACTGGCTCCTACACACGCCCATGGATGTTCTTGCAAAGAACTTTAAACTGGACGTCGGGGTGTTTGACAACATCTCCAAGCGAGAGAAGTACATTTTCCGTGGTCAGGTGCCGGACACCAACAAGCCGAGCATTCCAGATCACGCCAGAAAATCAAAGCAGCGCTTCACGCACAAGATGCTCGCCCAACCACCCCTCAAATTCCCCGCAGGCGAGGTGAGAATTGCAGACACCACCAACTTCCCCATCTCCAAAACCGTCTGCGCAGCACATGTGATCATCCACGCACACGCCCTTCGCGAGATGCACTGGCACCCGAACGCCGACGAATGGTCCTTTTTCATCAGAGGCAGAGCCAGAGTGACCGTCTTCGCCTCCAGCGGCATGGCCCGTACGACCACCTACCAAGCCGGCGACGTAGGGATCATTCCAAAGAACATGGGCCATTACGTGGAAAACCTCGGCGACGAACCGGTTGAGATGCTCGAGATCTTTCGGGCACCGGTGTTTGAGGACTTTTCGTTGGACCAGTGGCTTGCGCAGTCGCCGCCGAGAATGGTGTTGGAGCATCTCAATCTGCAGGATACAGAGGATGGCAAGAGGTTCTTGGACGCGCTTCACCGCGACAAGGTGCCTGTCAAGTGATAACATGTGAGTTATGGGATCCAGCATGCAGAGCTGTGTTGAATGTTCGTCGGTTGTAATGACTTCATTGCAGAGTTTCGTCTCGGCTCCATCGAAGGGTCAAGTGCATCTGTTCCGCAAGTTTTTACGAAAGCCTATGCTTACAGCGTTTTGATACATGCATTTTAGCGTAAATTAGCAATATGGGGGAGTGTACCTCGCAGGGCGGGTGTGATTGCGTGGAATTCAGCAAGCAGGAGTGCGGCTGTGAAGGATTTGTTGGCGTGCTTATGAGGGGTTGGTGATGGAGTTGGCACTGCAGTTCGTATTCATTTCTGCATATTTGCGGAACACAGACTTCCAGCATTTCTCATCGGGGAGCTTCTTGGGGAGAACGTCCTCGCGCCCCCGACAATAAGTCGCCAGGCACTGTCGCCGTCGGAGATCATACCGAATAGAGGTAATGAGGCTCCTCATATTGATGATTCTTCATTTGGTGGTTCAAAAATGTTGGTACGGACACAGAAATTCCAAGATGCAATGAATGCAAAAAACATCTACACAATCCCAACCTTCTCCCCCCGATCTACACATCCTTCTCCTTCCCAATATCCCCAGCGGGCCGACCGTGTGACCAGCCCCAAGTAAAAGACACGTCGGCCCGCCCCACGGTCTATCAACCAACGTCGCCCGTTTCCGCTATCCCGCAAAACTCTTCAATAGTCGGCGCTGTCGTGGGCTTTGGCCGCCCACATAGTGGGACTTGTTTGCCGTCCGTTGGGGCAACAGGTCTAGTTGGAATGGCAATACACCTGGCCGGGAATCGAGGAGACGCCGCAGGGGCAGAAGCGCCAAATGAAATTTAACTTGTTGGACGGATGAATGGGATCAGCTGCGCATGCAGCAGCAGCAACAAGCGCAACACTGTCTGATACTTCTGATTTGCCTGAGGCTGGGACAACACAGCACAAAGGTCGTTCTCTTCCCAGCAGAATAAAAAATCTCGACCCGGAACGTGTCAATCTTAGCGAGACCAGCGCACAGCAATCGCCAGTATATTTGGGTCTCTGAAATAGATGCGTCTTGCCTTCAGAAAAAGGTGCAAGTTCTTTTCAAGACCCTCTACTTGACGCACGCTGTCAAACGCCCTATACAGTGCATCTTTGCTGTTACGTCAATTGGGGGTATCCGATAGCGGTATCCACTTGCACCCACAGTCGACGGTTGATGGGACTGACCTACCAAAAGCTCATCCTGCCACATGTTCCAGCTGAAACTTTATCCTAGGTGAGGTTTGTGTGGGCTGTCATGTCCGAGGCGTTCGCGAACGGGCACAAAACGATCACGTCGCCCGCCCTATCACTTGGCGCGCTTTGCGATGACAAGATACCCAACTTTGCGAACGTTCCACTAAAGCTTACTCCGGCCTACCCCATACTTTAGTCACTGTCACATGGACGTTCACCTCTCTCGCAAAATCATCTGAAACTCCCGCGTTCTTTGTTTTGTTTACCCAATCTGTGGCTTGTACAGGCTTTAATCAATCAAACGCGGTGATCTGCGCCACCGTCAGGTATCCACATCGACCAAACAGATATGTGTTCGGACTGGCAGGACTCATGGAGTGTTCGATTGGGACTGGTTGGCGGCCGCAAAAATGACAAGGGAGACGCGTTTTTGCGGGCAGCCCAGGACTTTTGATTTTCAAACAGAAAATCTCCGTTTGTCGGGCCGCCCGTGCGGTCCTGCAAAATAGCAATCATATGAAATTTGTATACGCTGGGATCACGCACCCTGATGGTATTACGACCTATGTAGAAAATTACAATACGGCTAACAATGCAGCTACTCTAATGCCTCTCTCACACGCAATCAAACCCTACCCCGTCTTCTCACTTATCGGATACCCTCCCTTGCTGCCGAGATTTCCTTGGTCGCTTCTTCAAAATTTGCCGCTCCACCCACTACAAAAACAGATGGGGAACCAGCAAAAAGAGTCTTTTGGAACACACAGACACATGATGTGGAAGGCTCTCTAAACTCTCGGTCCGGGAATCGAACCCGGGTCTTCCGCGCGCTGCAGCAAACCCGTTGCTGGGTGAACGTTGACAGGCGGAGATACTGACCACTATACTAACCGAGATGACGTTTCAGCTCGGGAAATAAAAGATAGATATTCGCACTCAATCATTCGGCCGATTTGACTTCTAAAAGTTGGGCAGGGCTACAATTTCCTCAAGAGCACAATTGAGCGGTTGGTTTCACTCGCGCTCGTTCCAACAATACTATAAAGTAACAGCAATGACTGGGTCAATTAGTTACGACCACCAGGCAACGCATAGAGAGGCGGTTGAACCATCGCTCCTTAATGCGGGGAAGCGGAAAACAAAAATGATTGAAAGAACAGCCATGGATGGGTCCACAAGGGTATCTTTATTTCTACAACTAGGTGGATGCCGAATGCTTCTTTGCTTCTTTGCTTGTTCTAAGCTCGGAGTGTCAACTGCAGAGCAAAATTTGTGAGAAGAGGTGGAATCGCTTTGTTCCCGTAAGTCAAGGCCATCCAAAAATTGCGACGCCATTGAGGTTGCCATAGGCCAAATGCATGTAGCTTCGCATAATACGCTGGCAGTGGACAATACTTGGGTTGAAAATACCAAAACAGATGCCCTCGGTGGGATTGAGGACGGGATACCCAGGCCGGATCCAAGCCACTTCATTCATTTCGATTCCAACTCGAAAGTCCGCGAGATCTTCACATTACATTTCTTCCCATGCATCCCGCATTGCGACCTTGTAGGAAATGCTTGCGTGCCAATCGCTCTATACCAATACCTCTTTCGTCTCTATCACAAAGACCTGCATCTCGGTTTCCTGTCGCTTCATGCCCAACCACCTGTCGATACACTTCAACCAAGGTGGCAACTTGGCCGGAAATTTTTGAGCTGGTGAACCCACCAACCGAAAATACATATAGCAAACCCAGCGTCCCACCGTCACCAGAACCATGTCCACAACCATCTCCACAACCAGCTGCACAACCAGACTCCAATTCCCCAGCTATACCCGGATATACTTTGAAAGCCGTTGAAGCATTCCATTCAGCGTTGCAAGCACGCGGATCAAGCGCCCATTCCTGCTGGATTGCCTTTGAAAACCTGCGCAAAGATCAGCTCGCGTTGAAGCAACTCGAGACGCACAACCATATCAAGCCGTTGATGCAAAAGCTGGCGAAATCACCTCCTGCCGATAGAATCACGAGGGTAACCGCCGTGTTGGAGGATATGTTGTTAGCTGACAGGCAGTTTCATCCGCTTGACTACGCCTTCATCACAAACGCCTACGGGGACCAACTGGATTATGCCGTAGCCATCGACTTGTTGGGAAAGATGTCAATATCTTCTACTCCGCCCACGGTGGAGCTGATGACTCTGATTCTCCGCTGTCTCGCCGATCGGGGAAATATGACGGATTGCGTCCAGTTATTTGAATGGATGAAGGATAATCAGATTCAACCTAATCGCATCACAATGAACACCTTGATCGCGGGTCATGCAAAAATTGGAAACATGGAGGAGGCGTGCGCGTTGCTGGATGAAATGTTGCAACAGGGCGGCGAAATGCAACCCGATGTGACCACATTTACTGCGATTATTGATGGGTGGGTTCGGAAGAGGGAAATGCGGGAGGCGGAGTTGGTGCTTAAAATGATGCGAGAGAGGGGCGTTCGGGCGAATGTCGTCACTATGAACACTCTCATGTTTGGGCGCATAGCTGTTGGTGATATTGAGGGGGCACTGGAACTGTTTGAGAAAATGCTGGAGACAGGCGGAAGGATACGTCCCTCCCTGAAGACGTTCTGCGGAATCCTCAATCCCTTCTTCCGGAAGGGACCGAAGGAAAGATTGGAGGAGATCCAGACGATTTTAGCCAAAGTGAAACGTTTTGACGCTTCGGTGGGCCTAGGGATGAGAAGTGCGGCAGATCTTATTGATAGATATCTCCGGAAGGGTGACTTTGAAGCTGCGCGCGCGTTACTTGAAAGCCTGCAAATAAAGGGCCATGAAACTGTTGGGCCTCAGATGAATCTTCTTGTTCGAGCGTACGTTCACAGCGGGGACATAAGCAGTGCGGAAATTCTGATTGAGAAAATGCGGAGCACGAAACAGAATCCTCCCTTAAGCGCAGAGACAGTGACTGTTCTTGTTGCCACTTACCTCGCCAAAAATGACTTGCCACAGGCGTGCAAGTGGGTCGGAAGACTCGGCCACGCTGGGTCGCTGCTTGAGGCTATGAATGTCGTCGTTGCCGGATTAGCAAAAATGATAGACGTCGCTGGTGCAACTGCTCTAATTGAAGAGATGCAGGCAGTCCATCCTAACGTGGAAACGTACAACCACCTTATGCTTGGCCACATCTCACGAGGAGACGTGGACAGTGCAAAAAGTATCTTCGACCGAATGGAAGGACAGGGAGTCGAACCCGATTTGGAGTCATACACCATACTCATGAAAGCCTATGCTAAAACGGGCAACATCGCTGACTCAACGCTCCTAATGAAACGCTACGAAACGAGCGGTCTCCCGCCTTCGATGGACCTTTACAGCATCCAAGCGCGTGCCCACTTCAACCGGCTCGATTCCGCTCGCGGCGTCGAGATCATATCAAAAGCTCAGAGCCTGGGCCTACAACCCACCCTCAACACTTACACATCCCTCATGAGCCACTGGTTCGTCAGTAAAGGTTCCTTAGCCGGCACCGTCGCCAACTTCAACGCCATCAAAGCCGCCGGTTTCACCCCAACCCCGCATGTATACTCCATTCTCCTACATCACCACGCGCAATGCGGTGCCGTAAAGGCCTTCAAGGCGTACTTTGCGGAAATGATCGCGGCCGGTCAGACTCCGCATCCCCTGCACCGCACGTACCACGTGCTGGCGTATTGCAGCAACGGAGACTACAACAAAGCGGCGAGTGTTTTGGAGGGATTTGAGAGAGATGGGGTGAAGGTCACGGCGCACGCGTACAAGTATGTGATTGAGGCGCTGAGGAAGAGCGGAAATTGGGGAAGAGCGAAGGAATGGGGGGAGAAAATGAGGAGGGTTGGCCATAAGGTTGAGACGGCATGGGAAGACAAGACTCTGATAAAAGAGGAGAACCCGACTAAGGTTGACCTGAGCATGGTGAGGAACGCGGTTGCTGATGGGGAAGTTGCAACCCCACTGAGTTTGTTGAGGAACGCGGTCGTCGGCGGGACGGTTGAAACCCCACAGAGCTTAGTGAGGACCGCGGATGCTGCTGGGAAAGCTGGAACTTCGCTGAGTTTATTGAGACACGCGGTCGGTGGTGGCAAGAACGTTGCTGGAAGTTAGGGCTATGAACTCTGGTTCCCGGAATGTCCTTCCCGCAAGTAAATATTCAGCATCTGTCACATTTGAAGGGATCCGAAAGAAACTTTTGGTATCGCTACGTCGGGAACGAGCACACGGTTATTGAATGGATATTTTTATCGGAAGAGTTTCGCCACACCCCGCCTTTTGGTTCCCGTTGATCATTTGCCTCAACTCAGAGCGTCAAATTTACATCAACCCCCAATATATCTACTCCTCCCTGACAGCAACAACAGCACGTTCTGCTATCTAAAGCCCCCAATTCCATAGGACCGCATCTCCTGACACCCATCCGCCAAGCTTTGCTTTTGTTTCCCCAGCCCATGCCGCTTCCTGCAGTTGGGGTGAGGGGAACGAGCACTAGTCTCTACATCCCATGCCAAATCCATAATTAAATGGCTCTACAATGAGAAGGGAATCAGTAGGCGGAGACTGTAGTTGGGGTAAGGTAAAGGTGATGAGGGTGTAGAATTTTCTGCGGCATATGCTTTGGCCGCGGGGGCGTACAGAGGATGCAACCATGTTGCTGCGTGTGCGTCACTTGATTCGAGCGGAACCTCAAAGGATGGGCCATTGGGGAGCTCTCCAAGATCTTTCCGGGGAATGGTTTGGAGAGAGTCTCGCCTTTTTGGCGCCTTGGGTATAGAGGTTTTGGTTATATGTGGAATACGATGGAGTTTTCCAAGAAGTCGTTGGGCATTTTTGAGAATCGGAAAGGAAGGTGGACCTGTCGCGTCGCGCATCGCGTAAGCAAACAAACCGGTCTGGTCGACAAACCCGTTGGCAATGCGGATCTGGCTGTCCCAAGCACGTACAGTAACGAGGACCCAAAGCTCTGCGAACAAGGACCCATGTAGGTGGTGGTAGTCTGGGGCACTCGACCATGGACAAAAAATGGCATTACGGCCCGCCGCTCAAATGAGAAGCTGGGCTGCTCCAGAAATGGCGTGGAAAGAAGCACCCCCATGCGTGTAATTAATGAAGACAGAAAAAGAATCCAACGGCACGAGCCCAAATACAAGACAAACCACATAACTCTCTGTTACCAACTGCGCGGTCATATACTACAAACCGTCAAGCACATACAGAAGAAGATTCCTCCTCCACCCCAACCTTAGCCAGACAGGAAGATTTCAACGGATGTAGATTACATCGCGCTCCTCCATCCCGTACTGTTACCCCGCCAACTTCGTCGACAAAAAACAATCAAGCGGGTCAGATTTGGTTACGAGGCCATATGTCAACTTACCGAATCCGGAGTTCGTTTAAGATCAAGAAGTTCGCCCTTGAAAAGGAACCGTTCGGGCTTGGTAAACCAGCCAAAAAGGGGGGGGGG